CAGTGGTTCAAAATTCTGAGATAAGTGAGTTGTGGCCAGTTAGTTTCAATACCACATGAAGGCTACTGGAATGGACTTGGTGAGCAGCAAGCAATCACTGAAGGGTTTAAACAAGGAGTGTTTGTGGTGCATGAGTAAACCTTATCTTTTACCTGTAAAGTAATGAAATTTGTATACTAGATTATTGTGGAATTGAAAGATAAAGATAAAATTCGTTGTATTATGTCCAAAGTGCATCTGTCTATAAAAATATTAATAGTTGCTTCTTTTTCAATTTAGTCAGGTGCCTGTGGATCAAAGCTGGATCCTTGATGGTTTTCCAATGACCTTAAACCAAGCAAAGCTGCTTGAAGAAGCTCTCACAGGATGTAACAGAGAACAAATAGAATTGGAGGCCAAGAGAACACAAATATCCACGTTGGCTATTGATCCTTCAGCTTCCAAAGAAGTACCTGTCCCCCCTTCTGCACTTGATTTTGCCATGTTGTTAGATATTTCAGATATTTCATCACTGAATCGCATAAATGACATCATGGGTAAGTTGGACACTTTTTTTTTTTGACACTTTGAGATAAAATTGAGAACTCTTTGTTTTATTTGGTCATTGACTGAGTCAGTAAATATTCACATTTACAATTTTAAGTCAGCAACAAAGAATGCCTTTTCACCTTTCAAAGAATTATCTAGCTGAACAGAGTTCTATCCTGTTTTCTCATTTTGTTTGGTCATTGTTATTGTTTTGTTGTTGTGGAGATTGTACACAACAAAACATACACGAATTCAGCAGTTTCTACATATATAATTCAGTGACACTGATTGCATTTTTCAAATTGTACATTTTTTATCACCCACCATTTCTGAGTTGTTCCTTCACCATTAACGTAAAATCACTGCTCTGAAGGTTCCTATCTAATCTTTTGAGTTACTGTTGTCAATTTGATCCCCTACAGATAGATCTTGAAAGAGCACAATGCTCAAGACAGACTTTCTTTATTAGTTAAGCTAAACTATTGCTTGGTTTTAAGAAGACTTCAAGGGATATTTTTGATTCATGGTTTAAAGATTATCTTAGGACAATAACTTCAAGGCTTCATCCAGCCTCCAAGGCTCCATCTGTCCCATTTTGATTGTCAGTGTTCAGCACTGCAGGCTAAGCCTGGGCTGGCAGAGAATTCTACACCAACAGCACACATCTCTCTGAACATAGCTCATCAGCTTCACAGCTCGCTTGGCACAGGCTTGAATGCATGGAGGAGGTCTTTGAAGCTTTCTAGTTCATCTTGGTGGGTCACCCTAGTGAAGTTTATGAACTATATCTGTGCTGCAGGCAAAGATCTGGGCACACTCATCCATTGATTTTACTACATTTTGAGTTATCTCTGAAGAGCCCTGGTGGCACAGCTGGTAAACCTTCTGCTGCTAACCAAAACATCAGTGGTTCAAACCCACCAGCCTCTCCACAGGGGAAAGACATGGCTGTCTGATCCTATAAAGATTATAGCCTTGGAAGCACTGAAGCAGTTCTACTCTATCCTATAGGGTTTTTGTGATTTGGAATTGACTCAACTGCAACAGATATTAACTCTGAGGGGCAGGTATCAGTAGCCTGACATTCTCACAAGGTAGGGTTTAATATTCTTGGGAAAACTCTTAAATTCATGGTTTATTTAACAACATTTCATCCTTAAAATGAAAGTGTTTATTTATTCTACAAATCAAATACCTGTGGTTGAAATCATGTACTGTTGACCTTAGGAAAGTTAGTTCATTATTCTAAGCCTTAGTTTCACAATCACTGTACTAGGTTGCCTCATTGTATTGTAATGGGGATTAACTGAAATATGTGTTAGCATAGAACCTGGTGCATAAAAATAAAGTGAATACATCAGGAACAATTATCAAAAACTTTGAAACGAACAAAACATTGCCTAACATCCTTTCAGTGGAAGGCACAGTATTGTCTGATGAACCCTTCATGGTTGTCTGATTCTACAGGAGTCCAAGCCTTTCATTGGCTTTGACTTAGCTTTTCTGCAACTCTGTGAACTGTAGGAAACTGATATTAATAGAGATGATTCTACTCCATAGAAATACAAACTACTTCTGTTCATTTGTGATAAAATTAAATTCCACCTTGGCTATTGTTTTTAAGTGCCTTCATGTCACTTCCAACTCATAGAGAGCCTATGTACAATAGAACAAAACTCTGCATGGTCCTGTGTCATCCTCACAATCATTGCTATGCTTGAACCTATCATTACAGTCACTGTATAAATTCATCTCATTAAGGGTCTTAGGAGCTCTGGTAGCATAGTGTCTAAGGCACTTGACTGCTAACCAGAAGGCTGGCGGTTCAAAGCCACCAGTCACTGCTCGGAAGGAAGGATGGGCAATCCTACTTCTGTAGTGATACTACCAAGGAGGGGTTGCTATGAGTCGGGGCTGACTTGACAGCACATAACAACAACAATAAGGGTTTTACCCTTTTTCTTTGACCCTCTACTTTACCAAGCATCACATTCTTCTCCAGGGATTGATCCCTTCTGACAACATGACCAAAGTATGTGAGATGAATTCTGGTCATTCTCACTTCTAAGGAGTATTCTGGCTGTACTTCTTCCAGGACAGATTGGTTCCTTCATCTGGCAATCATGGTATTTTCAGTATTTTTTGCTAATAACACATTTCAAGTGCATCAATTCTTCATCAATATTCCTTATTCATTGTCCAGCTTACACAGGCATATGAGCCTATTGAAAATACCATGGCTACGGTCAAGTGCACCTTAGTGTTTGTAGTGTCATCATTGCTCTTTAACACTTTAAAGAGGTTTTTTGCAGCAGTTTTGACCAGTGCCATACACCTTCTGATTTCTTGACTGCTGCTTCCATGGGCATTGAGTATGGTTCTAAGTAGAATGAAATCCTTGACAACTTCAGTCTTTCCTCCTTTTACTTTCCTCTTGCTTATTGGTCCATTGAGAGGATTTTTATTTTCTTTATGTCAAGATGTAATCCATACTGAAGGCTGTAGTCTTTTATCCTCATCAGTGAGTGCTTCAGGTCATCTTCACTTTCACCAAGCAAGGTTGTGTCATCTGCATATCACAAGTTGTTCATGAGTCTTCCTCCAATCCTGATGCCACGTTCTTCTCCATATAGTCCAGCTTCTCAGATTGTTTGCTCGGCATACAGATTGAATAAGTATGGTGAAAGGATACAACATGATGACACCTTTTCTTCTTTTAAATCATGCACTATTCCCTTGTTCTGTTTGAATGAGTACCTCTTAGTATATGTACTGCTTCCTCATGAGCACAATTAAGTGTTCTGGAATTCCACTTCTTCTCAATGTTATCCATAATTTGTTATGATCAACACAACTGAATGCATTTGCATAGTCAATAACATGCAGGTAAACATCTTTCTGGTATTCTTGGCCTTCACCCAAGATCCATATGACATCAGCAGTGATTTCCCTGGTTTCATGACCCCTTCAGAATCTGGCTTGAATTTCTGGCAGTTCCCTGTGAATATACTTCTACAACTATTTTTTAATTTTATTCAGCAGAATTTTACTTGCATGTGATATTAATAATATTGTTTGATAATTTCCACATTCTGTTGCAGCTCCTTTCTTTGGAATGGGCACAATTATGGATCTTGCCCAGTCAGTTAGCTGGGTAGCTGTCTTCCAAATTCCGTGGCATAAACAAGTGAGCACCTACAGCCCTGCATCCATTTGTTGAAATGTCTTACTGGTTATTCCGTCAATTTCTATAGCCTTGTTTTATGCCAGTTCTTTCATTGCAGCTTGGATTTCTTCTTTTGATACCATCGGTCCTTGATCATATGCTACCTCTTGAAATGGTTGAGCATCAACCAATTCTTTTTGGTACAGTATTCTGTATTTCTTCCATATTCTTTTGATGCTTCCTGTATCATTCAATATTTTGCTTATAGAATCCTTCAACATTACACCTCGAGGCTTGAATTTTTTTTTTCAGTTCTTTTAGCTTGAGAAATACCAAGTGTTTTCTTCTCTTTGGGTTTTCTAACTCCAGGTCTCCACACATTTCATTATCATACTTTACCTTGTCTTCTAGAGCTGCTCTTTGAAATCTTCTATTCAGCTCTTTTATTCCATAATTTCCTCTATTCACTTTAGCTACTCTACATTCAACAGCAAGTTTCAGAGTCTCTTCTAACATCCATTTTGGTTTTTACTTCCTTTCCTGTCTTTTTAGTGACCTTTTGCTTTCTTCATATATGGTGTTCTTGATTTCATCCCACAACTTGTCTGGCCTTTGGTCACTGGTGTTCAACACATCAAATCTATTTTTTACATGGTCTGTAAATTCAGGTGGGATACATTCAAAGTCATACTTGGCTCTTGTTTTAATTTTCTTCAGCTTCAACTTGAACTTGCAGATGAGCAATTGATGGCCTGTTCCACAGTCAGCTCCTGGCCTTGTTCTGATGATGGTATTCAGTTTCCTTATCACCTCTTTCCACAGATGTAGTCAATTTGATTCCTGTATATTCCATTTAGCATTTAGGAGCTCTGGTAGCATAGTGGCTAAAAGCACTTGACTGCTAACCAGAAGGCTGGCGGTTCAAACCCACCAGCCACTCCTCGGAAGGAAGGTTGGGCAATCCTACTTCTGTAGTGATACTGCCTCGGAAACCCAAGGAGGGGTCGCTATGAGTCGGGGCCGACTCGACGGCACATAACAACAACAACAACAACAACAATGTGTATAGTCACCATTTATGTTGTTGAAAAAGTCATTTGCAATGAATAAGTCATTGGTCTTGCAATATTCTATCATATATCATTTCTTTCACCAAGGCTATGTTTTCCAACAGTGGATGCATCTTCTTGGTTTCCAACTTTTGCATTCCAATCATCAGTATTTATCAATAAATCTTGATTGCATGTTTGGTCAATTTCAGACTGCAGAAGGTGTTAAAAACAATCTTCAGTTTCTTCATCTTTGGCTTTAGTGTTTTGTGTTAATTTGAAAAATTGTAGTATTAAGTGGACTTCCTTGTAAGCCTACACATTTTATCCCATCACTGACAGCATTGTGTTTCAGGATAGATCTTGCAGTGTTCCTTTTCGACAATGAATGCAACACCATTCCTCTTCAGTTTGTTATTCCCAGCACAGTAGACCAGACCATTGTCTCATTCAAAACCACCAATATCATTTCATTTCAGCTCACTAAGTTTTAGGATATCAATCTTTACATGCTCCATTTTACTTTTGAGAAATTTTAACTTTCCTAGCTTCATGTCTCATGAATTCTGATTATTAATGCATATTTTCAGCTGTTTCTTTTAATTTTGTGTTGTGCCACATCAACAAATGAAGGTCCTGGAAGCTTTACTCCATCCACATCATTAAGGTTGACTCTACCTTGAGGAGGCAGTGCTTCCCCAGTCATATTTTGAAGGCTTTTCAACCTGAGGGGCTTATCTTCCAGCACTATGTCAGATAATGTTTCATTGCTATTCATAAAGCTTTCCAGTAA